TAATCCGAAAATTATGGATCATACTTTTTGTATTGCATTTAAGAAATCTTTGCCTAACCTGAGGTCACAGAAACTTTTTCCTATATTCTTTTTCTAGAATTCTTGTAGTCTTAGGATTTACATTTATGTTTATGATATATTTTAATTTTGTATAATTTTGTCAAGGTATGGATTAAAGTTTATTTTTTTAACATTTGAATAGTTCCATCACCATCTGTTGAAATGCTGCCTTCTTCAATAACCTGCCTTTACATTTTCGTTGAAAATTAACGCCAAGTATATGCCAGTTTAATTCTGGACTCTCCATTCTGTTCCATTGACATGCTTATCTATTTTTACACTAATACCATACTTTAATTATTGTAGCTTATAATAACTCTTGAAATCAAATAGTTTTAGTCCTACAACTTTGTTCTTTTTCAGAGTTGTTTTGGCTATTTTAGCTAGGTTCCTTGAATTTCGATATGAATTTTAGAATCAGTTGGTCAACTTCTATTAAAAAAATTCTGGAATTTTTATTCGATTGCATTTAATCTATATAAAAATTTGACAACTCGACATCTTAACAAAATATAATCTTTCTCCATTGCTTTGAGAAGGATAACTAATGGCAAGTTTCAGCTGAGAGAAAATAGTCCTTGATTGGGGAAGAAATTTACTGAAAGAATTTTAGAAACTGGCTAACAAGTAAGTGATTTTAGTGACCATCTCTCTGTTTATAAATCTTATCAACAAGAAAAGTAAAAGGGAATGATTTTGAAAAGACACCTTGGAACTGCTGCAACAACTGCTGAAGCAAAGAACTGAACTGTGGGAATTTAAGTTCTTCACGACTCTTGGAAATCAAGCTTGTTTTTGTCTAGAACTTGATCAGAAACAAAAGTTTCCCTGAACGTTATGTTGTCTGGGCGCTCTTCAAGAGCACATGGACACAATTTACTCTCTAACAGGAACCACGTTCTGGTTCAGATATAAAAGTTTTGCAGAAGAACTCAGCGGGGTATGTGTAAAAGGAAACATTTAAAAATTGTATTATAATTGCAACAGACTATAAAGATATAGATTAAGTCATTGTTTATCCTTTGGTCATTGTTAGATTTTAAAAACTAAAAATTTTAATGAAAAAGTTCTGGAAATCTTGAGAGTGGCTTACCATCCAACTTATCTTTATATCCAAGAAGGAAAATCATACATTTTAAATGATAGTAAGTTCAAGTCAACTTGGTATTTTAGAAGCAGCTCTGTCTGTAGCCAATGCTTGTGGTGGTGGCCCTACAACATATCCTCCGGGCCCACCTGGGGTTTCAGCCAATCTCAGACTCACCTTTTGGTGACAGCAAACCCATCTCAAATAAGTGCCCCATTTCTCCACTTTGTGACAAAGTGTCCTTTCAAAGGCCATGGCAACCCCCAGGCCTATTAAGTATATCACATAAATGAAGAGGAGTAATGCCTTCAACCAATGGGTCCAAGGCTAGTGGACAGAGGGTCCAGCCTCTAGTCCTTCTGACAGACAATCCTGGGAAGCACTTGCTCATTTCCAAGGTGGTGCTATGGTCCTTGGACCAAGTCCCAAGCTCCCCAATGATAATCTGGTAAGACACCTCTGTATGGGTTTCCCCCGCCATCTTACTCTCTCTGTTCTTACTTTTGCTTCCTGGGGTCACCTCACAAATGACTTGCATACACTCAAGTCCTTTTTCGGGGTCTACTTTCAGGTGGCCTAAACTAAAATGAGCACCATTAATCAAATGTATTTATATATCTTTCCATGTAAGTGTAGGTGGTTCTTCATATCTGTAGATTCACCATTTGTGAATTCAACCAACAGTGGATGGAAAATATTTTGTTAAAATGTTGCACTATTGCTGACATGTACTATGTAGTTAGGCTTATGATAGCTGCGTCTGTAGTGTACATGTGCAGACTTTTTTCCCCCTTGTCATTGTAATAACCATTTACATCGCATTTACATTGTATTAGGCATTTAAAGTAATCTAGAGAAGATTTAAAGTACACAAAAGGATGTGTATAGGTTATTTGCAAATATTTTGTCATTTTATATGAGGGACTTGAGCATCCATAGATTTTGGTACCCATGGGGGTTCCTGGAACCAATTCCCCACATATACCAAGGGTCAACTGTATTTTACAGATTTTCTAGATTGTGTGCAAATAATTATTCTTGAAGAATTATTTGCAAGGTGAGGTGAGGACATTTTAAACCTGTGCAAATTAAATATATTTTTTTCTGTTTAGGCAGTAAAAGAGCTGATGATAATGATGCTTGCTCACTATGAATCACATTGAAACTACCTTTAATTCAATTTCTATCTGATAAAAAATATAATACGAATATCTAACTTTGATGGTATATGAACTAATGGCCAAGTGGTGAAAAACTCTATAAGATAATAAATACTACCAATAAGTTCCGTATCCATACTATATGATATATAAGCTTTAATTTGTCACATAAAACTTCAATATTACTTTCTGCCAGAAATTTAGCAACTCTTTTGATACAAATGCACATAATACTTTCATGCTAAAAGTCATAAAAACTGAATAATTCACTCAGCCAAATTCACTTTTTTTTTGCATTGAGTCTATTTTTATCACTAATCTTACATTGATTTTATGTTAAATGTTCATTACATCTCTGCAATATTCCATCTTAGTATTGGTAGCACTAATTTAACTTTTTTAGGTTATTTTATTTTCCAGTTCAGGGCCCTTAATTGGTAACAACATATACTGCCAGGTTATAAATGCTTTATTATTATTACAATTTTAGCACTGAGGAAGCTTGGTGGTGAATATCTGGCCACTTGATGTTGTTTTGAAAAAGAGGTCAAGTTCAGACTCTCTTTCTGATAGAATGTAAAGTACTTCTACACGTGTTATCTGTAATTATTATGAAAGTTAATCTTAGTCACTAAAAGAGGATTCACTATCTGAACTTTCTTCTGCATTTTTTTCACCTTCGCCATCAGGCACTGGAGCATCTGGCCTCCTGAAAGAGAAGGGGAACGTTTTTAAAGTTTTTTCCAGTTGAAAGAAGCACTTACTCATTGTAAATTAGGTTCATCCTAGAATATTGCTGCTAATAAATCTGCCAAGTCTGCGTCCTTAACTGAGAGAGACTCCCACTCGCCACCGCAGCGCGCTCTCCCTGGCGTCTCCGGCATTGTGGGGATTAAGTGCCTTTCCTGTGTGGGCCGTGGCACTGTCTTCTCTTGCCAGTGCTTACAGAGTGTGCTGCTTCAGCACTTTATGCTCCTCATTGCCATGGAGATCAGCTATAGACAGAGATGCGATCAGGGGAGGCTGGCAGGACCATTGCCACAGCCAGGCAGCCTCCAAGTGCCTGAGGTACAGAGGAAGAAAAGCCAGCAGTGGAAAGAAAGGGAAAATCCTCATGTTCAGGAAAGCTGCAGGGAGAAATTTTTTAAGTGGAAGAGAGTTCACGAGTGGCTACTGAGAAACACAGGCAATAGAAAATCTGTGGGGGCAAAGGTTCTTCATTGTATTGAATGTTTTCACTTATGTGCAACATGGACATATGAGAAGGGTTAAGCTCCAATTCTGCAAGGCTGTGCTATAATAAAACAAAATAAAATTTAATACTGTCATTAAAACCGTCAACTAGATAGGCTCCACCATGCTTGTCAGTAAAACCATTCAGTTCACCTGGGAGCACTATCACTCAGTCTGTGTCCCTGCTACCAAGAAAGAGAATTAAGTGAGCAAAGTATACTTTGGGGGAAACTAAAAGAGAAAGGAGGAAAAATACAGCTGCTCTGTCCTAATAATTAAAATCTACCACTTATGTCACCCTCAGCCCCTTGATTCTTATTAAAGATTGGGAACATCAACAAATGCAACTCTTCTTTGTCAGACATATAACTATTGTGTTTCTGGTTTCTTGGGATATATTCCTAGAAGTGGGATCACAGGTTGGCTTATATTTTTAATATCATACCTGGCATACTACAAAACAGAACAAATACTGGCACTGCTTTCTAGTCGTCACATATAAACCCATTCAATTTTAGATTATGCCTACGAGGAAAACATATGCACTCAATACAGCACAACTTTAAAGCTGGCCACAGCATTTCTAGGTTTGGACTGATGCTCTGTCTGCCTAAAATACTAACATGGGACCACAGTCTTCATCACTACCCATGGAAGCAAGAACTCTAGAAGCAGTGGGCATGAATACCAGGCACATTTTCCCAGTAAGTTTCTCTTTGCTATATAGTTGATTTCTTATTGTCTTCACTTTGTTTAAAAAGGAAAATTTGCTAGAGGGAATTATCTGACTATTACATCAAATTACATTAGTATCTATGGCACCTCAAACAAATAAAACAATGTACACAACTCCCCTAAAATAAATGCTACTTAAGAAAAGGGTAAAAGTAGCTTAGGCCTAGAAGAGAGTGAAACAAATAAAATTAATTGATTTATGTGTGTAACCACTTTTTGATGTATATAATGCTGTATGGCATAGTGGTTAAGAACAAAGACTATGAAGTCAGATTGACTGAGTTCAAATCCCAGCCTTGCTACTTATTTGTTAGGCAACTTTAGGGAAGCTATTCAACCACTCTGTACCCAACTGACTGGATTGTTGTGTTGATTAAAATAAATCACTAAGTGTAAAGTATACTGAATAATATCTGGCATATAGTAAGTATATTAAATGTTATTTTCTATTATTTTTATTGTAGAATTATTATTATTCTCATCATTATCATGTGCCTACTATTTGCCAGGAACTGTGGTAGGTGCCAGAGATACAGAGATGAAAACCAAACAGTTCCTGCCCTGCACAAGCTGATATTTTAGGGGGGAGATAGAAATGCAATCAATTATTATTATACAGTGTGATACACACAAACACAGTTGTACAAGCTACACGTGTGAAAAGAAAAGTAATTCACTCTACTAGGGTTGGTTAGAGAAAACTCCAGAGATGAAGATACTTGTGCAGGGTCTTGGGATGTGAGTAGGAGTTTGTCAGAAACAAAAAATGTGGGAATAGGTGGGGATGAGAATCTGAGTAAAGAGAAAAAATGGGAATGGTATGATGCTACATTAGGAAGCTGGAAGCCATTCAGTAGCTAGAGGGTAAGGTATATTGCGGTGCAAATGTAGATGACATCAGATAATTTGGCAGGAGTAATAAGTGAAGGATAGGGAAAAGTTATATAAAATAAGTTTTCACTGCAATTGCACCAGTTTGGGATTCTTATGTAGTCATTTACTTCATATTCACGTTGTTATGTAATAATCACCACCATCTCCAGAACTCTCTTCATCTTGCAAAACTGAAACTCTATACCCGTTAAGTAATAACTCCCCTACACACTTTCCCTCCAGGCTTTGGCAACTACTATTCTACTTCTGTCTTTCAATTTGACTATTCTAAGTGGAATCATATAGTGTTTGTCATTTTGTGACTGGCTTATTTCATTTATCATAACAAAGGTTCATCCATGTTATAGCATGTATCAGAATTTCCTTCCTTTCTAAGGCTGAATAATACTCCATTGTGTGCACATAGTAGATTTTGTTTGACCATTCATCTGTGGATAGGCATTTGGGTTGTTTCCACCTTTGGGCTACTGTGAATAATGCTACTATGAACATGGGTATACAAATACAGGGTGGGGCAAAAGTAGGTGTGTAGTTGTTCAGATGACAAGTAATACAATAATCAATAAATAATAATACAAGATTAAACTCTGTGTTTCTGTACTCACAATTGTAAACCTACTTTTGCCCCACCCTGTATATGCTTGAGTTCTGGCTTTCACCTTTAGGTATATGCTCAGAAGTGGAACTGCCAGATTACATAGTAATTCTAGGGTTATTTTTTTTGAGGCACTGCCAGACTGTTTTCCATAGTGGCTATATCATTTATACATAGTACATAAGTGTTCCAATTTCTTCACGTCCTTGCCAAAACTTGTATTGTTTGTCTTCATTCATTTTTAAAAATTGAGATATAATTGATATATAACATAAAATTAGTTTTAGGTATATAATACATTTTGTTATTTGTATATAGTGTGAAACCATCACACATTAATTCTAGTTGACATCCACCCCATATATAACTTCAAAAACTTTTTTCTTGTTATGAGAACTTTAAAGATCTATTCTCGCCTGGCTGGTGGGTCTCAGCTGGTTGAGCTTTCATATATCTTTTTATTTTAGTGGCATTGGAAACTAACAGGACTGACTCTTGGTTAATTATAACTATTGTTATTTTTGAAAACTTGGATTTTTAAAAATAATCACTTAGAAGTAGCAAACAAAAACCATTTATTAATAATCACAAAGAAGTAGCAAACTTTAAAAATAATCACTTAGAAGTAGCAAACAAAAACCTGGTAATTATCAGGCATTTACTTCAGTTTCATAGACTTCCTAAAATTCGGTGATAGACATTTTTCTAGGAAAATAGGCAGGCTCTCTTCTCCTTTAGCATGTTAAACTGCTTTAGTTTAAAATTATGTACTCTTTACTACTGAAATTTTATACATAATCAAATAATTTATTTTCTGATCAGTATTTATTTCTGCTTTGCTCTTTGCTCAGTACAGACTATCTTGACTATTTTTTCTAAGTTATATGAATCTGTCTTACTATCTGAGGCTAATAAAAAAAGTGTAGTTAATACTTTAAAAGAAAAAAGAAACAGAACAATCTTTCACTGAGAGTTCTTGGCTGAGGCTTAATATGTACCTAAGATTCTAAATAAAAGTACACTCTTCACTTGGGTGGCACATTTTCTTCTCCCTCATCAGCCAAGAGCTTTCTTCCAGCGTGAGGCTCCTTAACTTTTAGGTAAACATGATCCTCCAAGCGCCAAAATTCCTCTTTAACAAGGCAGTTGATTCCACTTCTCATATCTGGCTAAGTGTCGTTGGAGCTGGTCTAGTAGTGGTGGTGACAAGTTATAGTGAGTCACCCCCACTCCAACCAGTGCCCCTTGTGACCAATGGCCTGGACTTATGAGGTAATGGGTCAGAATTCCAGCTCCAGGCTGTGGTTGAGGAGCAGCTTTCGTGTAAGACGATGTTTTAACTGTTACTGGAATTCTACCCTAAAACTTGGCACCACCTTGTAACCAAATGTTTCTTAACATTTAAAGACAATGACATACCCTCAAACTTGCTAAGTGAGATATACCAAGGAAGGATTGGGGGTACCGGGAGTTCTCCCCTCGGTAGTCATCCATGAACTTCTTAGGGTAGTGACACCTAAATGGAGTCTTGGAGAATATGAACTTAGCCAGGCCAATAAGAAGGGGGAAGGAAGTTCCATGGAGAAGAAAGAAAACATTAAAAGACATCAAAAGGGAATAGGAAAATGATACAATCAGAGAAGAGCCAGTAGTGTTACAGCTACACAATAGAGGTGATATGGAACAGTGGCAAGAAATGAAGCTTGAGTGAGAATCTGGGTCTTGATGACAAAAGCATTTATATGTAATTCTAGTGTTAGACTACATGCTGAAGGTAATGGAGCGTCACACAAAGATTTGAAGCAAGAATGAAGTATTAATGGAAACACTCAAGCTTTAGTGACAGACGAAAAGAGAATTGGGAAACCAATCAGGAGCTACTATCATAATTCAGGTGAGAGATGATGAGAGTTTGAACTAAGCAGCAATGAGCATGGAGGTATGTGGTCAGATGTAAGGGATATTAAAATTGAGACTATCGTAGTGACTGACAGTCTGGGGTAGGGAAGAGGACACAATCAAGGATGACTTTCAAGTTGCTAGTGTGGGCAGCTGGTTAAGTAAAGGATTATGAAGGTTCAGTCTGGGCAAGGGATAACGTAAAGCCAATAAGAGGTAAAAGGAGTGGATAGCCAGCATCTGCTGATGCTTGTAGGGCTGCTAGTTTTCTATTTATTACATTTTCTCTAGAGAAAAAAAATCAGACTTTTAAAAGTCATTTTAGCTTTCTACTGTGTATTTCGTCTACTGTGTATTTCCAGAAGCAAAAAGGAGGCCTTGGTCAATGTTAAATATATTTATAACATATATGTCAATGAGTACCAAAATGGATTGGACCCATATGTTCAATTCACATTCTAATATATGTCACAATCCATCTGCTTTTAAAGTGTGTGTCAGAATTTCCAGAACAAATGTCAAATATCCTGGAGATGTCTTAGTTCAAATTACCAACCTATGCCATTGGACTTCAGTTACTTGGATATACACTAAATGTAGATACATGTTGGAAATCAGTTCTTGTAGACTTTTAAAAAATTCTTAAATTTCATATTTTAGAAGATAAAATAAGAAAAAAAGATTGTTTTATGGTGTTTCACATGCAAAATGCACAGTTTCTTGAAGGGCTTGAGAGCCAAGAAAAATAACAAAGCAGTATATTGCTAGTAGAATACAAACGCCTGGAACACACAGCTAAGTACATCGGGGTGGACCAAAACCCCAAACTGGAAAGACTTTTTACAAGTATCCAGATACTTGCAAAACAGACTACTTCTGAATAATCCATTAAGATATATATATTTATCCAGGATGAGCTATGTAGCAAGGTTTGCTTGGATGAAATAAATTATTGACAAATTTCTGAGCCACATATTTATAGCATTTCTCAAAAATATATTATAAAACTCACAAAAACTGATATCTAGTTCCATAATAATCATTAATGTGGACCTAGAGTGACTTTACCTTATTTATTTCTCAATCTGACTCAACTTAGATCTTGGTAAATTTCCTATATATTAAGGTATTAAACAAAAATCTGGTAGATAATTAAAAAAGAAAAAAAAAGAAAAAGGTAGCATGGAGAGAAAAACACCACTGCTTCTTGAGGACACTACTGCTGTGCAACAAAACTGCCATCAAATTCCATCTCTCTGGATATATAGATTCATCACTGATCTACTATAACTGCCCTTAAATGTGCAAAGGATGGTTTTAACAGCATAGGATAGATTTTTCATTCTTGTAAAACTATTTATGAATGTAGTTCCCTCAACTATAAAATACTGTATAGGAAAAATATATCGTTTGAAATCTTTTTATTATAACTGATATATTAAACATCTCGGCGGTAATATCATTATATTAGAAGAATTACTTACTCGAGAAGATCTGGGTCTAGTCCTTCTGATATCATTTTGTTTCTTATTGCCATCACTGGGACACCCTAAGCAAAGGACACAATATAATAATTCAATGATTAAAAATGCTTTCTTCATAAAAACAGAAAAGAGACCAATGGATCAGAACTGAGAGCCTAGAAATAAAGCCCAAGCATACATAGTCAACTAATATTTGACAAAGCAGCCAAGATTACTCAATAGAGAAAAGACATTTTCTTCAATAAATGGGGCTGGGAAAATGGAGTATAAAAGAATGAAACTCAATATGAAGAGTTTTCACAGTTATATCTCTCAGAGAAATGCTACAGATCTTGACAAATTAAGTTCAGATCATTGTTAACTATAATCCTCATTTTTTAAAATAAGGAAATATGCCCAACCAGTGTGCGCAGTGGTTGAGCGTCTACCTATGAACCAGGAGGTCTCAGTTTGATTCCCAATCAGGGCACATGCCTGGTGGTGTGGGCTCCATCCCCAGTGGGGGTGCCATGCAGGAGGCAGCCAATGAATGATTATTTCTCATCATTGATATTTCTATTTCTCTCCCTCTCCCTTCCTTTCTAAAATCAATAAAAATATATATGAAAAAATAAATAAGGAAATATATTAAAATTTAAAATATTTACTTTTTATTTTTCATGTATAGGGCATAATGTCACAGGAAGGTCATAGTATCCTGCCACCCGTGAGGAGTAAGCCCAAGTCGCTGTTGGATGTGTTATACACAGAGCCATTCTTCAGGCACTCTGCTCTCTTTACACCTATTAATTATTTACTTTAAAAAAAATGTCCAGAAAAGATGCCTTTTGCAACCCTCATCTCTTATTCTGGCTATGGAGGAAGAGAAAGTCCACGTTCCCTGCAGCCTGCTAGGCTCGAGGAGGATGGGAAAGCAAAGGCTTCCGCTCAGGTTCGCAGGTTTCCAGGTTTCCAGGAACACTCTCTCCTGAGAAGCAGCAAAGGCACGGCTGCCATTTGTAGGCCCGTTTATACATTTATCTTCAGAACTGCTATGTTTAATTTTATAAATTAGTAAAAATTAATCTGTTAAGACTTGGCTAAAATGAACACCGAAATGCATCCTAAATATTAGATGGATGAAAATAAATAGCACCATCACAAAATTCTCTTAAAAAACATACTCCTGAAAGTAATATTGTTTCATGGGGGCAATCACCAAGGTATTCTGCAAATGACAAAGAAGGCAGAAGATAAAACTCTGGGCTTCTTGTTTGCTTATGAAGTTTAACAATAAATCAAAGACAGAAAAATGAAAGTTGCGTAGGGGCATTCATTCCATGTTAACAGACTCTTAAAGTAAGCATGAGAATAAAACTTGCACCATTTTTAAAATATAGCGTGTCCCAAAAATGTATACACATACTTTGAATAATTATAAAGGCAATGTTTATTAAAATACATTTTCAAAATTGAGCTGTTAAAATATACATTTTTGGACACCCTATATATAACCTGGAATTAAGACTTGAGAGATTTTTAAATAAAATATACTTAATAATCACTTGATAATAAAATTTATATAATAGTGGAGGAGAAAGCTGACTACTTGAACAACAAGATTGGGAATTTTATTTGATAATTACATGCCATTCAACTATTCAGTATAACAGAGAAAATTAGAAGTTTGAAACTGTTCAAAGAAGAAAACACTAAAGTACTAAGGAGAAATGGAAAAGAGAGCAGAGTTAACATCATACTTCTTTAAAAAGACCTATCAGTTTCTGTTAACTACGGTTTGATGGTATAAGGTCTTTCTACAAATTCAACTGTGATTTATTTATTATACTTTAGCATAATCCACAGGAAAGCATTAGAAAGGTTATACAAAATTACAAAGCTGAGAAAACAGGAGGGAGAAGAAATGAGGTTGAAAAAAATTTCCTAAAATATAGCAAAGGAAGTGTGTGTAGGGTGGGGTGAGGGGAGGTGGTAACTGGTAAGGGAGGACTGGGGAACAGGGAAGTTGATGGAATTAACTAGCTCCCTATTTTAACTTTAGTTTCATGGGATTGGTTATAGTATAAGAATAATAGTTTTACCCTTAGTTTCTCAAAGCTGACTCCAGCAAAGGATACAAATATTACATTACCAAAATTTGGTGAGTCTCAGTCGTTTCTGTATATAATATCATAAAAGAAAATACACATACTATATATCTCGCCTATTAGAAGACTCTACCACTATCATCAGCTTA